AACCGCAACAGCGAGCCTCAGGGCGTCGCCGGAGCCAACTCTACATTCGCTAATGAGAACACTTCCGGAGCACGAAGATTAGATCCTGCCGTAGATGCCGAGGTACGAATGGCGGAGGAAGATTGGGCTGAGGAGAAGAAACTAGGCGCTGCGTCTTCTACTTCATATCCAGATGCTGTCGGAGGACAGCGCGGCGAGAATGAGGATGGTGCATCGTCGAGGGAAACTGGGACCGGGACGGCGCCGTCGTATGTGAATAGCCAGTTCAACGATACTTCTGGTCTCAAAGGCAAGAATCTGCAGGAAGGTGGATTCGAGAGCAGAGATGCGAATAACGCGAGTTTCAACTCGGAGATTGGATCAAAGAGTGACCCGAGTCGATTGGCGGAGAGGGATTTTCAGAGACAGAATGCGGATTTTGATGGGGTTGCTGGGATGCCGAGACAGGAGGGGGATTTGGAGGATAATACTTATGAGGCTTTGAAGAGGGATGCTTCGGCATGAATTTGTGTAGTATAGTAAGATAAGCGTGTGGAGTTTTATGTCACCAAGTTTAAATGTTGTGGATGCTATCCTATCCTATGCAGAATGTAAACACTGTAGTTTGTCCAACCGTTCCGCACATAAACGCCTCGCTAATGCCCAAAACAAACATACGACACAGTCTGGTACAATGCACTACACTTTCCGGCTCTCTGTATGAGCGACTGTCCTTCACAATACATCATATCATGTCCGTCATGAATTCCACGCGCCAGGATCGACTTCCGTTCCCAAATCTCTTTCCTCTAAAAATGTCCGGCCGATGAGTTGGTCCGGCAGATATTCCTGAACAACCTTGCCATCTTTGTAATTCGGATTGTATTTATACTGATCCCCATATCCCAGCTCCTTCATAAGCTTCGTCGGAGCATTTCTTAGGTGTATCGGAATCGGTAAAGCAGCCACTCCAGGCTCTCGCAAAGCGGCATACGCATTATTCAGACCGCGATAAGCTCGCGTGCTTTTGGGGGCGAGACACAGTGCCACAGTAACATGAGCCAATGCAATCCTACACTCGGGCATGCCAATCTTTTCTGCAGCAGTGTAGGCTCCTGTGGCGAGACTCAACATACTGTTGTCGGCCAGGCCGACGTCTTCTGAAGCGATTACAACCATTCTTCGAGCGACGTAAAGTGGGTCTTCGCCCGATTGGAGCATTCTAGCCAGATAGTAGAGAGCTGCGTCTGGATCGCTACCGCGTACGGATTTGTGAAAAGCGGAAATCGTGTCGTAATGCTGATCTCCAGCACGGTCGTACACCAGAGTCTTTGTTAGGGAGGACTTGATGTCTTCCTTTGTTATTGATGGCCGGGTTGATAGCCCCATAGCCAACTCCAGGAGGTTCAGGGCTGTTCGAGCATCTCCATCCGAGAAAGCTGCTAAATACTGGAGGAGCTCTGAGTCTACCAAATCCGATGCTGTGTAATTTTGACCCTCTGTAGAAAGAGCTCTTTCCAGTATCTGAAATATGTCATCGTCCGTTAACTTCGAAAGTGTGAAGGTGCGACACCGGGACAGTAGAGCGTTCTGAACTTTGAAAGATGGGTTTTCTGTTGTAGCCCCAATCAATGTAACCTGCCCCGACTCGACCGGCCCTAGGAACACATCTTGTTGTGACTTCGAAAATCGGTGGATTTCGTCACAGAATATTATTGTTTTCCGTCCTGTCAATCCCAGTTCCCCCTTTGCCTCCGCGAATATCTTCTTACAATCAGCCACCCCAGAACTGGTGCTGTTGATCTCCACGAATCTGCTACCCACCATTGAAGCTATACAGCGTGCAATTGTCGTCTTTCCCGTTCCAGCACTTCCCCAAAGAATCATCGAAGGTACGCGATCTTGCTCAATGAGACTTCGTAATACTCCCTGTTCCCCGACCAATTCTTGTCCACACACTTGATCCAGAGATGTTGGCCGCATTCTTTCCGCAAGGGGTGCAGCTTTGTGAAACGCATTGGTCTTTGACTTCTTCGCCCTCTGTCCATCCTCTACTCTCACCGGCGCCTCTAGCTCAGTCTCTTCCTTCACTGCCGTAGTAATATCATCGAAAGATCTCTTCCGCGCTGGTTGAGTTGGAGTAGATACGCCATTGCTTTCTGACTTCGGCTGAAAACTCAAAGCCGAAGCAGGTTCTATCTTTGGCGTTGGATATGCAGCAGCTCGTTTTGCAGCTGGTGTTTGGAAAAAGCTCGACACGGACGTGGCTGCTTTTTGCGGTTGCTGCGTTTGTTGCTGCTGCGTAAGTGGTGGAGAGCCAGTATCAAGGAATGATTCGCAGGAGGAATCGATGTGGGCGTTGATGTCTTTAGATTTGACCGCTTTACTGCAAATCGGACATGCGACCATTGTGCTCAACTTTGGATGATAATGTGGTAGCACTGTACTGTAATATTTTATTTCACGGTCGGGCGCGCACTGGAGTGACGCGCAGGATCGCGTGGGCTTCGGCGCCCTCCTCGTTTAAATATTGTAATCCCTGTAACCTCCAAATGACAATTATAAGGTACTTTATCTTCAAAAGCCCAAATGTGTAAGTATTTGCTATCTTCTTCTCATAATCCATAGTCTCGCGATTCTTGATCTGCTCATCAGTGGACAGCAGACTAGCACAACTTTTCTCGATCAGAATATCATTGCATTTATAAGAATCTGTTCCCTTGTTCATGATACACAAGTCCTGTACAGTAGTTTCAATGGACCACTAGAGGACTTTACGATGTCACTCATACAATTCGTCCGCTTTACGAGAACATGCTGGGGTTGGTTGTCAGCAACGAATCAAGTTTACTACGTCGAAGTTTAATATCAATAGCTACGCCTCCTCAATAGTTGCCCTCCGCCTCGAGGCTTTCGGGAAAACACAAGATTATAAATTCCTTATTCTTCTTGGTTTCGATGTGAACCTTCAGCGTCTGACAATTCAGGATTTGCATCAATATGACGGTCAATCTCTTTCCAAGCTACCAGCAGTTGCCGGGTACTCTTCTTGCCATCTGGATCTCAGGAGTTGCTTATGTTGTTATGAAAGGATGGAAATCCAGATCCTTGATATACAGACTACGGAAGGATCCCCGAGGTCTTGTAGGTCCAGTAAATTGGAATCTTTGATGTCTCCCTGGTCCTAATGTCCTACAATCTTTCCCCCACATACTTGAACGAGACGCTGACGCAGTACTACAGCCAATTCCGAAGTGGAATCCAATCACCGGGCATCTACTCACACTCGCTCCTTATGCTTTCCGGCTTCCAACGAATGCACATCAGAACTATCTCCTTGCAGAACTAGCCAAGGAATATCCTCAATCCGATTCGGCCTTCTATCTGGACATCTGGCCCTTCATTATGCCAATTCTTCTGATCTCCTCACCGTCTCTTGCCATCCAGGCTTGCCAAAAATATGATCTAGAGAAGCCCAAAAGTCTAACAGACTTTTTCTTGGTCAGTAAAGTTCCTTCCTCTTAGCCTGCAGGTATTTATCGTTGTGGTCCTGCTTGAGATCTGCCTCGAAATAGGCAGTGAAAGTTTCGCTGACATGCTGTCAGCCATTCGCAGGGAGTAGCGATCACTTGTTCACCAGTAATGGACCCGAGTGGAAAAACTTACGTTCAATCTTCAATCCCGGATTTAGCGCTAATTACCTCATGACTCAAATGGATCATATAATCGAAGAAACAACCGAATATGTTTCAATCTTAAGGGAGCATGCAGAGGGGAATGTTATGTTTTCGCTTGACGAACTCCTCTGTGACTTCACAATGGACATCATTGGAGCTGTCACACTCAATTCAAGGCTACATTCGCAACGGAGATACAACCAGCTGGCATCTGCGATGAGAAGTCAGGTACGATGGCACATAGCCGCTGGCGAATTCAATCCCTTTAAGCGCTTTAACCCAATAAAACCACTGGTCCAGTGGAAAAATGGACGATTGATGGACGGTTACATCTCGAAAGAATTGGACAAACGATTTGCCGACCGGCAACAAAGTTCGGATACAGTGACCCACTCCATCATTGATCTCGTCCTTGAAGAATACATGTCACGCAATCCAGAAGCGAACAAAGCCAATCAGATGGATCCAGCTTTCAAGAAATGGGCGACTGTACAAATCCGCCTTTTTCTATTTGCAGGGCACGATTCTACTGCAACTAGCTTGTGTTACACATATCACTTGCTCTCGCAGAACCCAGATGCCCTGCAACGGATTCGAGCCGAACATGATGAGGCGTTTGGAACGGAGCTCTCAACAGTGGCAACGCAGTTATTGGACCACCCACAAAAGATCAATAGTTTGCCCTACACGAACGCCGTCATCAAGGAGGCTATGAGGCTATGGCCTGCAGCTGCTGGCATCCGGACTGGCACAACAGATGCAGTTCTGCAAGATGGTGACGGAAATGAGTACCCGACTGAAGGAACAGCGATCTTAATTCTTCATAATGCCATTCACAGGAATCCAAAGTACTGGAAAGACCCAGACAGTTTTCTCCCTGAGCGCTGGCTAGTAGGACCAGAGGATCCTTTATATCCTGTAAAAGGGACCTGGAGACCCTTTGAATTTGGACCGAGAAACTGTATCGGCCAAACATTGGTCATGCAGGATATGAAGACGGTGCTTGTGATGACTTTGCGGGAGTTCGATATCTGTAACGCATATGACGAGTGGGATGAATTACATCCGAGGAAGGGCTTGAAGACCGTGTTGGGAGAAAGAGCATATCCTGTTTTCGTGTCGTCTGTCCATCCGGCTGATGGCTTTCCTTGTAGAGTATCTTTGAGGAAGTGACACATTTACAGCGATTGAGAATGATGCAAACGAAAAATGACTAGCTATCCATGGTTCGCTCGACCAGACACCGTGATTCTATCCTGCATCGACATAGATACTAAATCCCGAAGGAATCCGCTTGACTTCATTTCACAATATACCCTATTAAGACCGTACCGTCTGAACTTGACATGCCCGGGTAGCTCAACCGGGAGAGCGTGTGGCTTTTATGAAGATAGAGACCTCAAGGTCGTGGGTTCGAACCCCACGTAAGTGAAACAACTTCTCATTCTTAACAACCGAAATTGACGTGACTCAGCTCGGGCGCACTGTGCAACACATCCAACATCCTTTTGGAGAAAAACCTCCTTGCAATCTGTCCTTTTTTAATCCGTGGTTAGCCAATATGTTAACAATTGACCGGCCTACAGAGCAGCTTTGTTCTATGTAAACTTTTTTGTGAATATAAAGTTTTTTGAATGACCTCACTACTTTGTTTGAATCCAAAGCTTTTTGGAGGAGGTCAGATGTTGCAAGTCCACATTTTAGCTTTCTACACTTCCTTCGGGAGGCTCTAAACAGCATAGTTGTAACCCTAGACTCGAACTGACTTTCTGAATAAGATGGAGCTTTGACTTTCCCCGTCCACTTTGATGGGAGCTAAGCGAAAATAAACAAAACTAGGTAGCCTCCAACTACAGATATCAAGTCTTAACGGCAACCAAAGCTAGATCTACAGCTACAAGCTAGGATCCGAATGGGCCCTTGCGTCAAAGCTTCTATTATCGTCGGAACATTGCATGTACCTCACATGTGTCTCCATTACGTGGATTTTTTTTCACGTGGAGTTTTGAACTACACGTGAGGTCATGTCCAAAACTCATTTGCTTACTCTCTACTGTATATAATTCTGAAGTTGCGGTAGATCGTAGGAGAAGACATCTGCGGAATCATATTCCTTCTTCACTGCTATGAGAGCGGAACATTAGGACCATACACCTTTGGAAGGGGCACTCTTCCAGGTTCCAATGCGGGTCTATCGATAGACATGTAAGGTCCTGGTAGCAGATTAATGCTCTCTGTCTTACCAAGGCCTACCAATAGACTTTCAGCCCAGCCAATGACAAGTTTCCTGTTGTTGATATTCCAGAGCGAACCCTAGAGTCTCTAGCATCTGATATTCCTCTGTGGTACCAAATACCGATTTATTACTGGGCTTGGTCGAAGCTCCATTGAACTCATAGATGACAAACAGCATATGCAAGCGGAGTCTTCAGAAATTTTCGAAAAGCTCTTCCCGATACCCTCAGCGACTTCGCTTGTGATTCTTGGGAAACTATGAGTGAAAACAAGCTCGTGCACTATGGGGGATCAGGCGAGCATTGGCTTGTGGGTAATCAGACAATTTTGAGACTGTCACGGTGCTCATCACCACTTTTGTCAAAGCCTCGATCTTTTGTTACCAGATGCGACCACTCTCAACAGCGTCGGAGCTCCATTTGGAAGAATCACACATCGTTCTCCCTGTCGGAGTATTCACATCATCTCGTGTATTAGTAGCTCGTAGGGCAACCTGGCTGCAAGCTTCAATTACCCAGAATTGAATTTTTGAAAGTCCCGGCAAGATCTAGAGAATCAAAAGTTAGTGTCCCCGTCAGGTTCTAGTCCAGATGTCAGAAGTGAATAATGTAGACGATGACTTACTCAAGTCAATAGATAAACCTTGATCGAGTTCGACGATGACACGAAGCAAGCTCCCCACCACCTTTTATGCCTTTCAACAAACGCTCATCAGCTGTGATTATTTCTCCATCCGAATGCACGACCTTGGCGCCGACAATCTGATCAACACCCAAGCCATATCGTTGTGACAAGGGCACATAGCCTCCGTAGGTAGCCTATCCTCTGTACCCACCAGTTCCAATAGTTTCAATCGGCGGGATTAGTCCCTCTTAATCCAACGATATGACAAGGTCAAGCAACGAGACTCCCCTCCTATTTAGCCGTCTGCTTATCTTCTCAGATGTTGACATATGCAATATCACGCATATCAATTAAGCGCATCCTATGCGGTAGTTGCTCCAGGGACGTTGTGGCCACCAGTACCCAATGGTGAATTTGATAAGAGTTGGATACTGCAAAGTTAATGAGGAGTGAGATGTCGGCTGCGGATTGAGTCGCACGATAGTAAGTGGAGTCACTTTGTGGTCGCGAGAGAAAATGTGTCACGAAGAAGTGTAGCTGGAGGAGGATGGTGTTGCATGGGTGATATGTGGATGATTTTTGAGGAAGCTCTCGAGAGCGATCAGGTTTTGGTTGGCCATGTTTGCTACAATACGGATCGATGTACTGGGAAACAAGCAAGTTGCATTTTACTACTAAATGCAGAGCGAAAATGTCTTCGTCTTTATACTTCAATCGATACTGAAACTTTGTGCTCCCACACATATCTATTGGTTTCTCGTTGCACGTACTATCCAATCGCAGCCGCGCATATCAAGCCAGCTTAGCTCTTACAATGGTCGCTGTAAGCAGCGCAACACATATCTTGTTCAAGAGCATAGGTAAGAACTCACTTTGCGTCTCAGGGCAAGGATGACTTTGACCCGAACGCGCATGTTAACGATTTGCTGGATTTCCATGTGCTAAGACCATTTGGGGAAAAGCTTTATACTGCATCTGCTTACTTTGCATAAGCACGAGGCTTTTAATTAAATTTCAAGGCATACTAAGACATACTATGGCAGGAGAGATGCAGGAGTTGGAACAGGGACGGAGATGTGTGGATTAAGCATCTGAGCGGTTCGAGACGACCCTCCATGAGGCGTCTCCCGATATATCCAATACCATCCTGTACAAGTATACACAGCGATTGATGATTTCAGGAACTGAGGAGGAAAACCGTGGTAGTAATTTTCAAACTTAGTGTGTTTGAAGGCTTTGTGACCATAAACATTAATGTGACACCGTGGATTTCAACTTAGGACCAGTCTCGCTCAGTACTTTCCGCTGAGTTTCACCAAACCGGCGTCCTCGTTCTCCTTCTTACTTTTCTGACTCCACTCCGGCGCCTCATCAATCTCATCTTCTTCCTCCTTGTCACCCTGCTCCTTCGTGTGATGAAGAGAGGTAGGTGCGTGTTCAGCTGGTGAGTAGATTGTATACAAGATCTTTGAAAACATATCAGCCTTTTCCAGGTTCACCTTCAAGTTAGTATGATGAGGGTCTTACAAGAGGCGAGTCTCCAGTGTTGATAAACTGGTGCTGGGTTCCAGCAGGAACCACCATCAGATCTCCGGCTTCCACATCTTGATCCTTTCCATTGATCGTTGCTTTGCCTTTGCCGGATGTGAAGGTCAATGCTTGATCTACGGTATGGACCTCATCTCCGATATCTCCTCCTACAGGAATAGTCATCAAGACCACCTGAGAATAAAGTCCTGTAAAAAGCACCTTGCGAAACTCTCCAGATGAAGCGGGCAGCTTGGAAGTCATCTTAGGAAAGTATACCACTGCAGAACAGGTCAATATCAGGAAGATAGAGGCTTCTAGCTCTTCTTACTGTCGTGAGCTGGTATGCCCGTATTTGCTTTCATCGATGCCATGGTTCGCGATTGTATGGGGTGAGCTGTGAGTACGGAAGTTTTGAAAGACTTGTGGAGTTGATTGCGCAGAGATAGTGTGCGTGAAACCCTTGAGATGAACATGAAGAATGAGAAGGAATGATACTATTATGTCAGAGATATACTGTTTAGAATACAGACATAAATAGGTGGTCAAAGACAGCTGCTAGTGAGCTTGTAAGTGATGTCATGCATCCTTGGTTCGCCTCGGGGTTCGTACTATCAGCACATTCTCACCCGATAAGCTGCTCTTACAGACAGCGAAAAGCAACTTAATATTAAGCTATAGAGCCTACTCAGCCAAGCCAATAAATGTTGACGCCTAGCAATAACGATACTATTTTCTGGTGTTCAATTCAGCACTCTCTCAAAAAAACAGACACAAAGATTTAGTTCAATCGAATGAAAACAAAGCCCGAAACTAAATGCACCAGTCGGCGCGGATGAACGATTTGCCGATGATGATGAGGTGAAGCATAATATTGAGAATAAGTAAAGCTTATTTCGAAGCCTGTATCGCAACGCAACATACAATGAATAGCTTTCCACGGTTATTATCGAGTCTTGCTCGCAAAGATGCAGCTTGGGTATGCTCCTCCTGCGCCAGAACGGCTCGCCGCAATCCCTCCACGCCGTTCTTCAAACCATCCATAAACAGCCGGACAATCTCGAACTCCACGAATTTTAGACAGAATGTTGCGCCTACGATGGAGCAATTGCGAGCACCTTTTGCAACAAAGAATGCCTCTACATTGTATTATACTCTCAGTGTGATCCTAGGGACAGTTGCCTTTTCATATGGTTCTGTCCCGATGTACAAAATGGTCTGCGTCCATCCACACCCCGCCACATCCAGCACCAGCTAACATGCCTAGATCTGCCAAACCACAGGCTGGGGAGGGCAACCAATTAAGGCACCTGGACATGGAGGTACAGACGATGGCGGCGATCCTTCTACTCGTCTCAGACCAGTTACATCTGCGAAACGCATACGAATTACCTTCAATGGCTCGGTCTCGGATGTCATGCCGTGGAAGTTCACTCCTCAACAGCGCGAAGTGCGAGTCCTTCCTGGCGAAACAGCTTTAGCATTTTACACTGCGACGAACAGGTCGAATGATGATATTATTGGGGTGGCTACATACAGTGTGACACCTGCGCAGGTAGCGCCATATTTCTCAAAGATTCAGTGTTTTTGCTTTGAGGAGCAGAGGTTGAATGCGGGAGAAACAGTGGATATGCCGGTATTCTTTTATATTGATCCCGACTTTGTGAATGATCCGAATATGAGGGGCATTGAGCAGGTGACATTGAGTTATACGTTCTTCAGTAAGTGATTCCTAGAGTCTATTCTGATTGTGCTGACAGGGAGCAGAAGCGAAGTACGATAACAATGGGCAGTTGAAGCCATATATGTGATCGTTTGTACACATTGTGTTATATGCATTGGGCGGCGTTGTTAGACAAGGAGTCGAGATTTGCTTCTAAACTATTTCCCACTCCCGTATGGATATTTGCGAGTTCATCTATGCTTCTCACGTTATCCTTTTGCCTAAGATCCAGGTCTCTCTTACCTTTCCAGCCTCGCTCAGTATTACAATATCCCCTCTTCTTCCAAGGTCCAGTGTCCCTCGGTTCTTCAAATGCATTGCA